ATAATCCGTAAGGTATTGGTTAAAGAAAATAAAACGCTGAACAATAAGGAAGAAGAATTTAACACTTGAATTCATAAAAGAAATCAGAATTCTCGTATTTTTCTTGCTACAGTTCCATAGTAAATTGCAAACATATGCAAGTATTTTAACAAGTTTCAAAAGTGCAATGTAAGGAAAGACTCAGAATCGTAGAAGCTATTATTATACAAAATAAACAACCGACATTACATAAAATATTCTCTACAGGAGACGGTACCTTAAATTGCACAAGATATATTTAATGTGAGCGTATATATATATATATATATATATATATATATATATATATATATATATATATATATAACTTTTGTTGCGGCCTCGTTTCCAATACCCGTTATACATGACGTCATCAAACTTCTAGTTTTCCAAACGAGACCAGCACGTAGTCAAAGGAATTATGCCTACAACATGGGTTAATGATAATTACTGAGACGGTCAAAAGTACTTGACCCAAACAATAAAATAATACGGACTTTGAACAGATTATTCACAATTTCGTGTACAATATTCAATATCTTATTCAAAAATTGGAAAAATATAATAAAAAATTAAACAGACAGACCATGTCGGTTCATTTTAATCAAACTTGTTTATATATATATATATATATATATATATATATATATATATATATATATATATATATAGAGAGAGAGAGAGAGAGAGAGAGAGAGAGTCCCAGTTCGTCTTGTATTACATTTATTTTCGTCTCGGATGTTACCTGAATGTTACCTAAAAAGAAAAACATTATCCATGCACGATGACGATAGGATGACCTATCGAAAGCACTAGCATATTTATGGAACATCTATAGAACATCTAAAAACAAGGATCACATCATTCAACGAGTGGCTAGTGGGTTAATACATTTTAAATTTCGCCATTTATTACATTAACCTTAATAATTTATTCTTTGTATGACTGCATCATTGTAATATATATATATATATATATATATATATATATATATATATATATATATATATATATATATATATATATTGCATTATTTACATTATTAGGCCTGTTATCCTCATCTTCATTGCCATATTCACAACGTTTCGGCTGTTGTACGATCCAATCTTCTTCAGGTGATTGGAATTTCGAACCGAACCCTTTATTTCTTCCACCGGAGTATATTGTTCTAGTTTCACGTGCCATGCCTCTTTCAGATGTTCAGTTATTTTCCTTTAACTCAACTCTCTAAGTTGTTAGTTGACCACTGCTGTAGACTGGTACTGAACTCACAACACTTTGGATCTAGTCACTGGATCCAACCAAAGACTTTATTCACTGGGCCATGTATCCTTGAAGAGCGAAGTCCGGAGCGTACAACGGCCGAAAATGTTGTGAATATTGCAATGAAGATGAGGATAACAGTCCGAATGATGTAAATAATGTAAGTAATCGTAATACCTCATCTCAGATACATATATATATATATATATATATATATATATATATATATATATATATATACGTTAGAAGAGCAACTTAAAGTTTCGTTGATCTACCAACTCATCAGGCACGAATTATTACTTTTGCACTTCCAACATAGGTATATGTATATTTATTAATATATACTTCTTAGCTCTGTCTAAATACACTTTAAATTAAATTGAGTAAATATTTATTTGCTTACCTGAGTATGTTATTTGATTTATCCACGTCGATATATATATATATATATACACACACACACACACACACACACACACATATATATATATATATGAAATGATGAGAGAAAGTCTAGTTAAACATAGATGAACAGTAAAATAGAAAGAATTAAATTGGCTAGACCAAACTGTGATTAAATGAGATTTTGAAATACCCAATATTCCTCTTATTACACGTGTCTTTAATGAACTCTTTTTTTTTTTAGTCCTGAGAGATAGCAATACCTTTCCTTAAAATTTGATACTCATTCAGATCATATTAAAATGCACGACTTTTCTCTAACAGCATAACAGAACGGGTTACAAATTTGTATATTAATAGTATAAATGGTATCCCTCATCAGAGCTGATCGGAAAATCAAAGTTCCGATAAGTTGAAGACATTTTTGGAGGAAGCGTATCAAGCAGTCAAGCAGTTTGTCGATGCACTCAGGGAATCCTTAGGATTGCATTCATCCTTTTGGGTACCTTAAACAAAGATGAACGGGATAACAGGAAAGAAACTGGTGGATTGACTGTCTAAAGCATGGTTCCTTTATATGAAGAAGCGACAAAACGTAGAGAAATTAAGACTCACGGGACACATTGAAGACACGAGAAGCAGGGAAGAGTAACCTTAGTTTGAGTCAATGGATGTCTGAGCAAAGACTACAAATACAAAGAGACTTGGTAAAATGCTTAAAATGAAGGAACAAAAGGAGCAAGAAAAAGACTGGATGTTGTGGAAAGCCACGTCCTGAAAGTAGACGAAATATGAAAGAAAATGACTTTCTTAAGAGTTCATATACAGAACATAATAAGATAATTCATTATTGGAACATTTAGATGAGAAATAATCATTATTATATCCTTTCCTATTCAGAGCAGCTTGCTTATCTAGATTTTTATACATACACGTGTCGGCCGTTGGAGACGCCATTATCGAGTACAATGACAGATGACTAAAGAAGGCCAAAACTGTATGTTTAGCGACCAAGATGAGCATGCCGGTCGAAAATGCAAAACATATAATAGGAATTCATAACTTTAAAACCCAGTCATTGCATTTTATTGCGTCTACTTAGCTATTTCTCCGCTTTGTCTCTGAAAAAACTGCGGTATATTTGGAGGACATGCATAGGTAAACTGAGGTACATTTGGGGGCCAAACATACACACACATCTATATATGTATATGCGAGCGTGTGTGTATGTATGTATGCAGTTGTATATGTGGGCAGCAACCTGTTTTCAATACATATTTTCTTAAACATGATTGAAAAGATGCTTTTGTTAAATTATAAACCTATATATATAAACCTAAGAAAAGCACCTTTTCAATCTTCATTATAAAAGAAAACACACACACACATGCACACACACACACACATACACATATACATATATATATATAGGATGACCTCTCCCATCGTATTCGACGTATGTGGATCAAGCAACTCAGTTCCTAGGAACCGACAGCCAGACACCAACACAACACATGATTTGATTATAGTGGTGAAGGCATTGTGCCGAACCAACCACACTTTTTGAAGGGGCGAATACAGAGACCTGGTGCACTACAAGATCCTCAAACGACCCTCCGCAGGTTTTGAATTCAGAGTTTTCCTTCTCCTAGACCAGTTTCCATCCAAGGCTATAGAACCGAGTCTGTCCTGCTATTTACCCATAGCTGGAGGACGAAGAAGAGGTTTCACACTTTTCCCAAGGGTATTAGCACGTAAGTGAATGTAATGGATTCGACTGGAATTCGAACTCGGCTCTCCGAGAACCGCTATCCATTACTTCACCGTAAAGCCTGAAGACTTCGTTTAAGCATGAAACAGTCTGTCACAGTTAGGTGTTGATCTCAATATCCACTTTTATATTTACATACGCTATATATATAATATTGATCAATTTAACTCATAAATATAACATAACAGATATATATATATATATATATATATATATATGTATGTATGTATGTATGGAGTAAAATATAAGGTGAAGCTTATAATGAACGAAGCCTTAAAATATAAGGTGAAGCTTATAATGAAAGCTTACAGTATAAAATAAACTGAATGCTCAAAAGTCGGCAGATGTAAAATATATTCTATTAAATAATATTAATACGATAATAAATAATAATAATTATAATAATATATAATAATGATACAATAATATCAAAATCCGATACTCAGACTTTTCAGCATGAAACTTCAACTATCGGATTATGATTATTACTTAATATTATTGTTGAGAGAGAGGGGGAGAGGGAAAGAGAGAGAAGGGGGAGAGAGGTACATTCGTACACAAGACTGTCAAATCCGTACCCAACTATATAATTATTAGCTAAATCTGTATTTAAAATCTTTACTCTATGTTATTCATATTCAACACTGTATTAAGTTCAATGACATAGAAGGAAATTATGTTGGAAAATAAATATTTGTTGCGAGAAATAAATGCATTTTTCCTAATTAGGCTGCTGAGTTACTGATGCACCTCTGTCAAATTCTTGCAGTCTGATTCAAGTAAGTTCCTTTATGTTCCAAATATTACATCTGTTTTCAATTTCTGTTGCCGTCTCTTCAAAACATTAATTTGTTGCCAAAAAACTCAAAATAACTCTTTATAATATAGAAAAATGTTTTCCTTTTCTTGTCGCCACCGTCGAGGAATTTTAGGAAATGTCTCACCCTATTTTCCTAATGGGAAATTCAAAAAGAATTTCCTTTTGGATAATTTAAACAGGAAAATTGTGGAGGAAAAGTTCGCAAGAAAAAGTCAAAGAGTTCATGATAATTCTTATCAGAAGTTTGTTAGATGAGGTAAAACACTTCACCTAATGAAATTGACTTTTTATTAGTCTGAATAAAATCGTCGGCAATGATTAAAACAATCATCTTCGATGATTTTGTTCACACTAATTTTCTCGTTTTTATTAGTTGAATCTGTACACGTACTAATGCTCAGAAAACCTAATAAACAAAACAAGTGTCAATATCAGTGACTTGTGGTATCAATTAAACCACAGGAATCAAGTAAAATTGATTAATTGATTTGGTTTTTACGGCTTATCAACCCTTTGCAGGCTATTTAAATCCAGAAAATATTTTAGGCTGTAAGTATTTTGTTTTAGATAATAATGGTTTAGTGATAAAAATCTTACTAATTAACCCAGAGCTGGGAGTGAAGCTATGGATTCATATCAAGTGAATATAACTGAACTGAAATTAGAACTTGGCTCTCTGATTAACAACCCCGAGCCATTATCCATGATATCACTTGCACATCCAAGCTTACAGCGCCTGGTATTCCCAAACGGTCACCCATCTAGGTACTGGCAGAACTCGACGTTGCTTAACTTCGATGATCATACAGGAATCGGTGTTTCAAAGTGATGTAACCTTAAGCCTTATCAAGCAATAGATTTGTGATTTCAGAAGTATGAACCGAGAAATAAGAGGTTTAGGGAAGGCTTAACACAAAAACACAAAAGACAAACGTGAGAGAGCATTGTCCAGATTCCACAAAATATTCAATATTATTCCAGAGCTCATTATAAAATCCAAGCTAGAAACATAGGTAATAGGTCAGCTTAAGTACTGCTACATAGTTTTAGTTAAATTTACTCAGTCAGCTATGTGCCATGCGTGATACACGCTTTCGATACATGACAGACGAGGCAGATTTTTTTTCCCCGCAGTAGGTTGCCATTTTTTTCTGTGGTAGACAAGTTACCGTCCAAGGCTATAGAACCCGTTCTGTCCTGTTATTTACCCATAGTTGTGAGGGGGGAGAAGAGGATTCATACCTTTCCCGAGTGTATTAGCGCGTAAGTGAATGTAATGGATTCGACAGGAATTCGAACTCGGCTCTCTGATTCCTAAATCCGAACCACTATCCATTACTCGAGCATGCCCAGTTTTTCTGACATTCTTTCTTCTTCTTTTTTTTCCTTTTTTTTTTTTTTTTTTTTTTGGTGGATGAGGTGACTCTTTGTTAAGTTATTATAATGAGATCTCAGATAAAGATTACTTTAGAACGGCTTGCCTCGTTTTATTAATAATTTTATCATTTTATCTTTAAATTTATCAACGATCCTCTTTGGTATGAGCTAAACCAAAAAGCCATTCGTTTGACAGAACTTAACATTCGATTTTTCTTTTCTTAGGATAGTAATTTTCAACAACTCACTGCTTCTTCATGCTATGCTTTTCGTACCACCATGAAATTAAGTGCAATATAGTTGAGAAGGATGTTCATTTATGCTTTATACTTTACGCAAGCATTTAAGGCACAAGGTTCTATTTGAACTAATAGGAAAACTTTATTTATTTGGGAAGGATGTTAGAATAATCCAGAATTGATACTGGGAACAAACCGCCTATGGATAGAAACGGAATAATATGGAAAGAGGCATAAGTGTACGATGTGCTTCCTCGTTAGATTTATTCAACATTTACAGCGAAGCTATCTTAAGGACGTTGGGAATCACAACAATATATATTATCAGTGGGAACATTCTTAACAACAAGAAATGCAATATTTCTGATTAGAATGATACCGGAGAGAGATATACAAATGCAAAAGGATGCGCACTTGTGTTTTATAGATTACGCAGTGTATGGTACAAGTTTCTATTTGAAGTGTTAGGAAAACTCGATCTTATTTGAAAAAGGTGTTAGAACAATCGAGAACTTATACAGAGAACAAACCGCAATACAGAAAATAGAAAATAAACTGAATAGCTACACAAAAATAGAAACGGGCTTGAGACAAGGGTGCATCATCTCCCCAGACTTATTCAACATCTACAGTGACGCTATCCTAAGGGAACGTAAGACCCTACCATAATTTATTATCGGTGGGTGTTATATTAAAAATATAAGATATACAGATATCCCTCCGTTGGTGGCTGACTCGGAAAGAAAACTTAAGGGCGTTCTAGACTGTGACGTAGAAGAAAGCGAGAAAAAAGGCCTAACTGCAAGAAGACGGAAAAAATCCGAAGATGCAAGTTACAAATTAGAGATATTAACATCAAGCAGGTGGATGATATCTGGGAAAGGTTTTAATAGCGGATGGAAAATGCGACACCGAGATCCGAACGAAACAATGAACTAACGATAGAAACATTCCAAAAGCTAAGCAAGTTGCTGAGAAAGAGAACAAAATTCTTTAGAAACAAAGAAAAGAATGCTAGATTGCTGTGGGTTATCCATATTCTTATAGGGCAGTGAATGTTGGACAATCTTCCAACAGATGAGGAGAAACCTAAAGCACTAAATGTGGTTCTACAGATACAGAAAGATACTGAAAATCCCATGGGGGCGGCGAGTAAGCAACAAGGAAGTTTTAAAGAAATGGCAACAGAAAAAAAAACACTTCTACTCAAAATCAGGAAAAGACATTTGGAATTCCTTGGATACATAATGAGGAAGGGATACGTGGAAAACTTATCTTTCACAAGGCATGCTGAGGGCAAGAAAAATAAGAGAAGGCAGAGAACCACTTACCTGACAAGCTTGTGTGAATAAATGGCAGAACGGAGGAAGAGGCTAAGGGAGAAAATATGCTAAGAGTTATACGGGACGGAAAGTTGTGGAGAGTCATGATCACGCATGTTCCGAAAGGACATACGTGATCATCACAGAAAGATGAATGAAGACAATTTTCTTATTATACGGGATGGAAAGTTGTAGAGAGTCATGATCACCTATGCCCTTTCGAGACGTACGTGACCATGACAGAAAGATGAATGAAAGGACATACGTGATCATGACAAAAAGATGAATGAAGATAATTTTCTTATCATATTTGATGAGCTAAAACTGGCATTGCGCTTCTGAGGCCATCCACAGTATCTAGAGTACTTGGGGTCTGAAGTCAACTTCAGGAATGGCTCTGAGCCGTTGGTTCCTCAATTTTTTTCTGTTAATCTGGTGATCATCAAAATTAACCTGTCCTTGGTCACAAGTCGTGATTTGATAATGAAGCATTAGGAGTAGCCATGGAGAAGCAAGCAGAAACAAACGTTGATTCTGAGAGTAAAGGCTGTGTGCAGCCTGTATAACATTCAGAAGACACAAATCGTCAGTCAGGCACAAATCGGCAAAAATGAAAATCTCCAATCTGAATTTGTTGCATTTTGCTTGCTCGTTTCCGAAACGACCATTTTCCTTGGTCGTTTAGGGGAAAAGGTTGGCAAATTTAATGCTCCTCAATTCAACCTTCACAAAACGAAATCTTCACACCGAATTGAAACACCTGATTGATTAATGTTACTCTAATCAATTTCTCTATTACAGCCTCTTGAAACTTTATCAGACCACCACGGATGAGTGATAGTCAAGATCTGAAGTTGATGAATCAAAAATTGCAAATATTTTAGCCAGCAGCGGTGAAAAGAAATGGGCTGACCTCTTATAAGATCTTTTAATTCCAAAACATGGAGCATACATTTATGTATGAATGTGGGCTGAAAAGATAATAGGCTGACTATGAAAGAATAATGCTAGAGCTGTGAAACCGTGTATTCATTGATTTAATTTCTTCTTATTAATAACTGTATTGTTTCTTTTCCGGTACGAGAATGGGCTAAAAAGTTCATAAGTTGATTACGAAGGAATGATGCTAGAGTTGTTAAACCGATCATATATTGATTCCAATTCTCATTAATAACTGCATTATTTATTTCCAGGTACACAAAGTGAGCTAAAAGGATCAGAGGTCATGAAGGAATGATGCTAGAACTGTGAAACAGTCCATGCATTGATTTCAATTCTTATTAATAACTGATTAATTTCTTTCCAGGTACATGACTGGGTTGAAAGATTCGTAGGCTGACTATAAAGGAATGATGCTACAGCAGTGAATCTGTGTATGCATTGATTTCAATTCTTCTTAATATCTACATAGTTTCTTTCCATGCATGTGACTGGGCTGAAAGATTCATGGGCTGAATATAAAGGGATGATGCTACAGCAGTCAATCTGTGTATGCATTGATTTCAATTCTTCTTAATATCTACATAGTTTTTTTCCATGCATGTGACTGGGCTGAAAGATTCATGGGCTGAATATAAAGGGATGATGCTACAGCAGTGAATCTGTGTATGCATTGATTTCAATTCTTCTTAATATCTACATAGTTTCCTTCCATGCATGTGACTGGGCTGAAAGATTCATGGGCTGAATATAAAGGGATGATGCTACAGCAGTGAATCTGTGTATGCATTGATTTCAATTCTTCTTAATATCTACATAGTTTCTTTCCATGCATGTGACTGGGCTGAAAGATTCATGGGCTGAATATAAAGGGATGATGCTACAGCAGTCAATCTGTGTATGCATTGATTTCAATTCTTCTTAATATCTACATAGTTTCTTTCCATGCATGTGACTGGGCTGAAAGATTCATGGGCTGAATATAAAGGGATGATGCTACAGCAGTGAATCTGTGTATGCATTGATTTCAATTCTTCTTAATATCTACATAGTTTCTTTCCATGCATGTGACTGGGCTGAAAGATTCATGGGCTGAATATAAAGGGATGATGCTACAGCAGTGAATCTGTGTATGCATTGATTTCAATTCTTCTTAATATCTACATAGTTTCTTTCCATGCATGTGACTGGGCTGAAAGATTCATGGGCTGAATATAAAGGGATGATGCTACAGCAGTGAATCTGTGTATGCATTGATTTCAATTCTTCTTAATATCTACATAGTTTCTTTCCATGCATGTGACTGGGCTGAAAGATTCATGGGCTGAATATAAAGGGATGATGCTACAGCAGTCAATCTGTGTATGCATTGATTTCAATTCTTCTTAATATCTACATAGTTTCTTTCCATGCATGTGACTGGGCTGAAAGATTCATGGGCTGAATATAAAGGGATGATGCTACAGCAGTCAATCTGTGTATGCATTGATTTCAATTCTTCTTAATATCTACATAGTTTCTTTCCATGCATGTGAATGGGCTGAAAGATTCATGGGCTGAATATAAAGGAATGATGCTACAGCAGTGAATCTGTATATGCATTGATTTCAATTCTTCTTAATATCTACATAGTTTCTTTCCATGCATGTGACTGGGCTGAAAGATTCATGGGCTGAATATAAAGGGATGATGCTACAGCAGTGAATCTGTGTATGCATTGATTTCAATTCTTCTTAATATCTACATAGTTTCTTTCCATGCATGTGACTGGGCTGAAAGATTCATGGGCTGAATATAAAGGGGATGATGCTACAGCAGTGAATCTGTGTATGCATTGATTTCAATTCTTCTTAATATCTACATAGTTTCTTTCCATGCATGTGACTGGGCTGAAAGATTCATGGGCTGAATATAAAGGAATGATGCTACAGCAGTGAATCTGTATATG